GTATTCAAGTTCTTTAAAGTATTTCTGTTTGACACTATGAAGCTAAAACTTCATAATAAATGAGACGTGATAGTAATACTATGATTTTGAAGTTCTTCTTAATTGCGTATTATTTAGGGATAAATCTTCTTTCATTTTGGTCCCAGGTTGCTCAGCTGCAGGCTGAGACGTCGGCCGGAGGCCCTGAGACCGAGGCCCTCCCTCCCGCCCGCAAGGAGGGCGACCTCCCCCCCCTGTGGTGGCAGTTTGTCACCCGTCCCAGGGAGCGCCCCGCATAAACACCCTCCATGACCCGGGGATGGTTCCCCCCCAACGGTCTGAGGGGGAAACCGACGGGGTTGACATTTGTGAGGAGAGTCACCACGACAGACAGAACAACCTGCCTGAATCAAAACTCTTCTGTAGTCTTTAGGAGGTTGGTGACTTTGAGAAGTCCTGTACAAGAATCACTTATTATCTGTAACTGTTCCAATAAATGTGTAATGAAAGTTGAACTGCATCAGGTGTCTGAGAAACTACTGACGAGACAAAGCAAGAGAACTGAAAAGGTTATTTAACATTTAGTTATTAACATTGACGTGCAACAAACGTCAGGAAACAAACATCAGCATCGTTCAACCTTTAGTTTAATGAAATAACTACCCGGTTAAAAAGAACTTGTATCAGCTGATCTCTGTCGTGATACTTGACCTAAAGAAATCTTTGTGTGAAAACATTAGAGCAACTCTTTTTTACCTTAAAAAGAAAAAAGCGGGACATTTTCCTGAAAATGTGCAAAGCAGCTGTTCGTGAGCGAACTAACATTGGTGTGTGTGTGTGAATGGCAAACTACTGTAAAGCGTTTTTTAATGGTCCAGACTAGAAAACACTTTAGAAACACTGACCATTTACCGTTACGTTTTTAAAAGTGTAACTTAAACAGGAGGAACTTGTGCATCTGTCTATTTTCAGCAGTGTATTAATACACATTTGGTTCTGTAGTGAATAGTCCTGGCAGAACTTTGAGTCCTTCACGCTGTAGCGTGACTGACAAACACCGTCACTACGGCGACAGGCGGGACAGCTTGAAATTGCGTGGCCGTATCATCATGGCGACGGCCCTCAGGGAATAGAAGTCTGAATCCTTCCAGGAGAACCACACGATGCCGTCCGGCCCAAGCAGATTCTGGGCTTTCAGAGTGTAGCGCCCCCCCTGGTCGGAAAAAAAACAATTTCCACATGAACATATCACAGAGTCATCAGACCCACGTCCCTCCCTCAACTCCGCCTCTATCGTTAAACACTGATTTGATTTATTTTAGTGGAGATTCTAATTTTCACGTCATGTTCGCTAACGACTGTTTCCCTGGTTGACATCAGCTTTGAGGGGGTGTAGTTCAAACAATCGTAGCAGGAAGCTGCAATCAACGAGAAATGCTATTGTGACGCGACGCAGCTCGACCTACCTAGCCTCCATGTTTTCCTGTGTGCAGTTGGCGTGTCCTGGTTGTACTCTGTTTTCGACCGTTGTATTTAGAATTAAACGGTATTGGGCTGTTTGGTAAATCGCTTTGTGACTTTGATTCAGCTCATTGAGAGCTTGAAGACAGCCCAACGGGATTCGCTACTGTCCGATAGCCAGCGGGGATCGCTTCTCGTGCACTGCATATTGAATTTATCCAACTCTAAAACAAGTTGTGAAATCTGGTCAAAATCAGAGAGGTCCCTGTCCTCGTGTAGAAATACTCTGTGAGACGTTGGCCGGACACTCGCTCAATTTGATTACAGCGATAGCACGTTAGCCAGATTATCAGACGTCATCCATCCTTCCCCAGATGTTCGTGGCGGGACAGAACGAACACACGTTGTTCGTGACCCACCTTGTAGTAGACGCCGTTGAGGTTAGCGTAGAAACATTGGCGGAACCACCAGCCCGAGTGACTGATTTCGGCGCAGATGTTGCCCGTGTCTGGCGTGCTGAAACCCTGCTGGTCGTGGTACCACCCGAACGAATCCTCCGCCGAGCCACTGAAACCGGACACGTGGAGGCGGTACTGGTTGTCCTCGTTCTCTGTCCTGCAGGGAAACAGAGAAAAAACCTTGTGTCAGCTGAGTTGTCAGCAAAGCAGCTAATTTTACAGACTGAAAAGATGCAAAGATTTTTCGATTCTCTTCTGACCTGAACACTTGCGTCCGAGGTGGTCTTGACTTTACTGTCGGCTCCTACGATTTAATCATTCTAGACTTTTCAGATGTTGTTCGACCAAACTGATCAAATTCTGATTTATTTCACAGGATCTGTGACACTCAAAAAAATCTATCCACCGTTTCATAGCGGATTCAAAAGTTGCAATACCTCTTGCGGCCACTACACCATGCCCAGCTCTGTCCGGATGTCGTCCTCGATGGTTCACATTCGGACAGTAAGAAAAGTAATGTCATGGGGTTTACGACGTATTCATCATTTCAGAGCTGAGTTCTGATTCACACAGCTCCGTCCCCGAGGGCTTGAATAAGTTAGTTAGCTTGATGTGGACTCTTGTGTCGTGTTTCTACGTCTTCGGTGTCTCTTTAGCGTTTCCTACGACTCATCTACGTCACACGTCTTTTTCTACCTGAAGCTGTGGTAGAGGGCGTGTCTCTGGGCGTGGCTCCAGTCCTGCAGGTCGATGCGGAGGCTGTACTGTCCCTGGTTGGATAGAAGATGGAGCTGCTGGTTTCCCAGCCAGTGTTCTCCTCGCGGATCACCAAAGCCATCGCGGTACTCTGACCAGCCGCGGTTAAAACTGACTGTGCCGTCGCGCCGTCGCTGAAACACTGTCCAGCCTCCACCTGTTGTCCAATCATACATGTATTCATGCCTCTATCATGTGTATCCATGTAATATTCACATGCTGCAAATACACGTGTGAATAACTGAGTTTTGTGTGTTTATGAACAGTGCGTGTTTTACCTTCTGCCTCCATGTCGCAGTAGACGGGCAGAGTGGTGCCTGGCGACAGGACGATGGTGTAAACACCAGAACGACGAACACCATTGTGATACAGAGACGCACAGTCTGAAGGACAGAAAGACAGGTACTGTCCACCTGAGGGAGAGATGGAGGGACAGACAGGGTTTTACACAGTATCAATAAATCTGTGCTTGTGGTTTTTAAGCAGAGCCGTGAAGTTTGGGTTTCTCTAATTAGATGGGTCCACTTTGTATTTTAACTTCAACCTTCCCAAATCAGAATTTTTTAAGTGAGGTTATGATTTAATTCATGAGTTTTGTTCTCAGTATTTTATATTATTACAACTCTATCTTATTGTTTTCTGTAAATGGATTCTTTAGTTTTTTATGTTGATTCAGACTTGGATTGGACTCAGACTCAGCTCTTGTTTATCTGTTGTTTATGTTCTGTTGAGGGTTGATTGGTTTTCCTTTCTTAAGGTAACAGTCTTCAGTCGATTCTACACAAACATGCAGACCTGCAGGACCGTTACGACCAACATGAGGAGTTTGTTGTGTGTCTGTTTACTGACATGGCTGCAGGTTTGACTTCTTTTTCTAAGACCTGAAGTTATTACAGCTCATTACAACAAGATGTGTGTTGTGCAGAAAACTGCTCATGAGCGTCATGCAACACGCAACTCACCGCTGTGTTTGTTGCATGTGTACCTGGTGGCAGTGTGTCTCGCATGCCGCGCGGTGGTGTGGTTCTGGCGACCTTGACCGCGCAGCCTGTGTTGCGGCTCACGCGCTGCACGGCGGCCGACAGGTTGCGTAGCTGCGCCTGCAGCTCGTACAGCAGCGCCGCGTGCACGTGGAGCAGCGTGTCGAACTTAGCGTGACGCAGCTCCAGAGAACGCAACCGCTGGTCAAAGGTTGAGTTCAGAGTAACGTCATCCTGAGAGAAAGAAAAGAAGAAACGAGGGTTCGATGAGGTTGTTATAAACAAATCCATTATTTACCATAGTTTAAAGTAGAGTGTAGGATTTAGTGGCAACTAGTGGAGAAGTTGTATATTACAACCAACTGAATATTACCCCTTGCATTTCAAGTATGGTAAGTATTATACACAAGATGGCTGCTTCACGTATCCTGTGTCTGTTGGGTGCGTAAGTTGTGCATGTCCCCAGAAGCAAACACAAAATGCAATACCCACTTAATAGGTCGGGGCACTAGCGAGTCCTTGACCTGTTTGTCCTGTTTGACCACGTCCAGAATTACCCACGATTGTCGCCCTCTTTGTTCCGCACTCCGTTCTGTAACTATGAAAACATGGCGGAGTCTGTGGAAGATGAACACGCTCCTAACGTAGGGATAAAGGGCTTATTCTAAAATAAAAACAGTTTGAATATTCTATCTCTAAATCTTTAAACTAACGGAAATGCTTCAGATCATGTGATTCACATCATGTTTTCATCAGGTTGAAAGAGACGCTAATTCAGGCACCGCGGACAGAGAGCCTGCAGCTAATCTCGTTAGCATTCAGGGTTAAGGAGGAATTAGGAGGTGTCAAGACAAAGAGATAAAGGTGGACAGAGATAATCAGACGAAGAGAGAGAAGAGGGCATATGACTGTAAATAAAGAAAGGACAGCTCCCTTAAGTGAAGCAGAATCATCTGGATCGCCCCCTGGTGGTTGGCTGCAGTATGCACACAGCTTCACGACACTGCTGCACAGACCCTGCTTCCAAATTACATCAGAAGAGCAAGATGCCAGTCGGAGACGTGACGTCCATCTTTATTTACAGTCTATGCTTTAAACAAACATGTAGCACACGAGCTACATCTACCTGCACCTCCAGGGCTCTGACTTTATGCCGGTGGTTCCTCAGCTCCACCTGCAGCTCCGACATCGTCTCTCTCAGCTCCTCCAGCTGGTGCTTCCTGTTCTGGTTCTCGTGCAGCCAATAGGAGACGTCGTCTGTACAGCGGAACATATCTGGGCAGCGATTCTGCGATGTTCCCACAGGGGGCAGCGTTGCCATCACCCGGCACTGGCCGTTGGACATCAGCTGGCTGCTGTACTCACCGCACTGAGGTGATGAAGAAGCAGTGATTGGGTTGGTGTTGTTGACAGCAGGGAGGACACTGCGAATCACCGGTGTGGCATCAGGGGACAGAACGAGGTGTGTTTCCTGCAGGGAGGTCGGAGGATGCCAGTCTGCGTCCTCATAGTCGTCCTTGTTAATGTCCAGTCTGTCCCAGTTTGTTTCAATATTCGTGTCTGGTACTTCCCTGCTTGTTTGGAAATTCATGTCGAGTACGTCCCCATTTGTTTCTCGGAGGTTGTTGGGGTGTACGTCCTCATCGTGACCTATGTCTGAGTGTTCGTCAGAGGCCACGACGTCACCGGTGAAACATCGGAAACACCGGCCGCTCAGAGAGATGAAAACCAGGAACACACATTTCCACTTCATCCTTCACAGCCACTAACTCCTCCTCCCTGGTTTCAGTCACAAGTAGAGTCGGTGTCAATAGATCGACATCAGTGTCTGACCTCATCGCAGCAGGATGAGGTTCCAGCTTGAGTGGTTTGGTTCAGGATGAAGAGAACCTGCTGAAGAACTGAGAATAGGTTGATTTAAGTCTTTACTTTATTCAGTGGTTCACATTTGCTTGACATTTAAATGCTGTAACTTATTTGAGTTTACGTGTCTGAGCCGCTTCAGAAGCTGATGGATCCTCTGAGAAATGAACTGTGGGACCTGGTCAAGCTAAAAACCCAGAAGCCATTGCAGCCAAGTGTGTTCTATAAGTTATGATCCCGAGGCGACCATGAATTTGAAACACAAAGAATACGTTTGAACCATAATTCCTACCTGATACGTCCCAGTTCACCTCCGTGGAAAACACACTGTGTGTGTGTGTGTATGAGAGTGTGTGTGTGTGTGTGACATCTTATCCTGATAAACCTCAAGGGGATTTGCAGTCCTGGAAATGAATAGCTTACATATAATGGGATTAGAGTAACTGACATAACGCAGCATGAAAGAGGCCGAGCGAGAGAATAACATGTGTTTAGAATTTCACCAAAAAACGAGTCCGACCGATCATCAACGGGGGGACGCGTGAAAGTTCCCCGTGAGAGTTGAGGAAACGCTTTCACCGACTCCAGGTCCACAAAGTGAAGCTCGCGCGGAAGTGCCTGACACCTGTATTCTCGGTCATGGCCAGCGGAGGGCGACTTCACATTCACATTGTTTCTATGGAACTTGTTGAGCAACAAACTTGTTTCTCTGCTTCACTGTGATGGAAAAGTTGGATCATCAGAGAAACTTTCACGTAACTGAAAGTGTGTGTGTGTGTGTGTGTGTAATTGATGGTACAGAGGTTCAAGGCCTGATCACTCCTCTAATGGGTTTTTATTTATCCTCCGCCTCCAGACGCTGCTCAGTTTGTTCCATTAGAGGAACATTTAAAAAAAACCCTCAGAACTTGGAACTAAGTGACATGAAGGTTCACTTTAGTTGAAAGAATAAACTCGTAGACCAACAAACAACGATTGATACTCAGCGTCTGTGGTGCTGCAGCTTTTCTCTCTGAAACTGTAAAAGTGAGCCGCAGCAAACAAACCTGCTGCTGGACGGAGAACAGGTTGTTGTTGCTGTAACCTCATCATTTATCCTGATGAGCCACTGGTTCACTCATTCATTCAAAGTTTATTGATATTGAAAAGATCTCGTGTCTACATGGAACTCTCAACACACAGGACAACAGGGCAGTTGTCGAGGCCAAAAAGAAACTACTTGAATTCTTCATCAGAAAAACCGATGGTCCAGTTGAACACGGAGCTTTTACGAAGAGTTCGTCCTCTTCACCCCGTTTCCACCGTGATCCGGTGAGACTCACCATTAGTCACCCTGACGGCTCAGACAAAGGAGCGTGTGTAACTGTAGACTCTGAGCCGCAGGTTTGAATCCCCTCTTCCCCTCCGTGACAACATGGCGCGGCCGTGCTAATCTGCCAGAGACGTCAGCGGACATTTCACACTGAAGGATGCTTCATCAGAGCAGCTCGGACATCGTCCGATTAGTGTGTGTGTGTGAATGAAGCTTTATAATTGGAAAACAATTTTTACCATATAAATGTCACTGCAGTAATTTGGGACCGGCTCGTGACTGCCCCCTATGTGCCGCGGTTGTGAGAGTGGAACTTCTCCCAATATTTGAAATCCTCTGATAAAACAAATGATGTATTACAAATATTTAAATTGTTTCGATCAAGTCTAACAGCAAAATACTCCAAAACACAAATGTCAACCTCCTGATGGCGCTAGAGACGAGCCTGCAGGGCCGTCCTGTAGCGCCCCCTGTCTCATCTGTGCAGTTTTTCTGGGCTCATTTCACTTGAAAGCTTTCGAGTTTACGAGGTTTTAATTTGCGTGCGTGTGTGGAGCAGAGGGAGGCGGTGTGATATTTCATTGATTGTCCATTTTCATGCATCAGTGTGTGTTTACCAGCGTGAATGAGAGAATGATGGGGAGATTTCAGGTATGACGTCATTGTCCGTCCCTGTGTGTGTGTGTGTGTGTGTGTG